TTGGGATGTTCCCCAACATGCTATCAAAAAAGTTTCAAAAGTTTGAAGGATTACTGAGTTTTTTCGCACCCGAGTATCTGGCCATTAGTTTTTGGTGGGGCTGGGGGGTTGGTAAGGGGGTTAAAAATTTTAAAAAATCGTAACTCCAAAATTACAGTAGCTAGCGAAACACGGTTTTCAATTTAAGATTAGGAATAATATTTGCAACAAAATTTGTAATAACATCAAAATCAGTCAAAGTCGCAGTTTTTGAGATATTCCGTGTTTCCGTAGTCCGTTTTTGAGAAAATTCGTGTGGAGAACTCCAAACTCCCATCGGACGCGACCCCAGGTGGCGGATAGGGGAAATAACCGCGGACCAAAATTGGAAAAATTCGTTTACTTTGAAACTAAAAGAACTGCCTACCAACTTTTTATTAACATATTTTAGTATGCGCGGCGCCAATTTTTTCTCTCGCCAACTCCCGGCGCCAATTTTTTTTGTTTTGTTTTGGGTACTTTAACAACAACATTTTTTTTGTTTTGTTTTGGCTACTTTAACAACAAAAAAACTATTTAATTATTATTTAAAATAATTGCAAGTCTGACTCTGTTTTTTAAATTATTTAACCTGGTTACATTCATCGGAACAATATTGATGAGCCCTAATTAACATTGAATAAGGAAAACCGAGCCAATTGAAAGATTCAAATAAATAACATCCAGGTCAGCAATTTAAAATATTATTTTTAACTTTTTCTATTGTAAATTTGAAATTCTCAGTGTACGATCTAATAGTGGGTATGCATAATATTAATCGTAGTTATTATAAATAAATCAAATTCTACAAACTAATTTTCAATGCTCTACATGTTCGAAAGGGTTACCACCCTAACCTAACCTAACCTTCCCTATTGCACATATTTATGTTTCGTTCAATTTTATGTATAGCCCTTTCAACAGATTCTTCTTCTTATACTTCCGTATGCGTTTTGTGCTCTTTGTTTTACACGCTGAGGTGTATTATGATTTTACTTTTACAAATGACGTTAAGTAATGCCCCCCCAGCCCGTTGACGACAGGTCCTAGAACCTCGCTGGCCATTATAATGCTCCACCATTTCTATTCCATCTTCCGTGGAAATTATTTGATTGACGCATACATTCGCTGCGAATGCACGTCCACACCTGGGAAACATTTTCTCGCGAATGCGAACGAATGCAAACGTTCGTCACGTCTATCCTCGGCTCTAGATCCTTTTCTTCATAGGATTTTTTTTTGTTTTTACTACCCGCGGTATATTTTAAAACTAAGTAACAGGATACATTCTGTGAAGTAAAACTAAGTAACAAGATACACAGTGTGAATTATTTTTGAAATAGCTTGCCGATCTGGCTGTAGAATGTAGAATGTTAGAGAGGGGTTAAACACAACTTTACAGATCTATTGTGTATTGAGTTATAACGAGTTCTAACTCATCATACAGTCTCAGGGCTTTAACAAAAGTCAGTATCTGAGACGGCTCTACAGCTCTCCATCCTCGACATCAGCCGTATATGGCACATGACAAAGTTTATGGCACGAACGGTCGTCGTCTCGGCGCACTCAGTGATAAGGTGTTCTGGTGTTTGTCCATTTTTCCAACAGAATCTGCATTCGCCGTTGTTTCTCAGCTTCAGCCTACTGAGGTGTTCGTTGAGGAGACAGTGTCCTGTTAGAAACCCCGTGACAATCCGAAGATTGTTTTTTCTTAAATCAAGGAAAATCTTTGATTTTTCTCGGTCGTAAAGTCTGAGGAACTTTTTCGAATGTCTTAGACCTTCTTGTTGGAAGACTCGCATTCCAGGTTACGGATGGAGTCTTCCAGGTTCCTCAGTTCCGCTTTTAGTGTCCTCAGTCCCTCAGTGAGCGGGAAATCATGTGATATATAGATCTATTTTTCTCTTTATCTAAAAAAATGATAACGATATATTTTCGACGAAGTCTAGATTTTGTCCGCATTTCAGAGCTCACTTGTCCGGAAACCATTGTATAGAGACCACAATATTTCATGTAAAAATAAGTCATCTCATTCCTCGAACTGAAAATAGAAGATACTGAAAAGTAAATATTTTTAAAACTCTTTGCCTAAACCGTTCCCGGTGCAATAGTTATTTTTACTTCTGAAGTTCTAGGTTATTCGATGACTTATTGCCAGTCGCGCGTGACGTCACGATTTTAAATCTGAGGTATAGCAGTATAAAAGTTTTCCCATTTATTTACGTGGTGTGGATATAATACGTGCTTAAATTTTACGATCCTTTCTTTAAGAAAAGATGTGTTTTTACAAAAAATATATTATCCATTTATTTTAGTACGCGTATTGTGTCCGAACGGATATTTTTATTAAATACTTTTTAATCTACAAGTTCATTGCGCAAATCGAATAACTCTGAAAAATCTTAAATTTAAATGTAAAGGTTGATTCTCACTATACCTTCCGTTTCCATTCCATATCCATTCCATATCCGTTCCGTATTTTTAATTGTATTGACGCTATACGTAAGCTTCCGTTCCATACTTTTTATTGTACAATTTATATCATTACGAAAGTTTGATTTTAAAGATTTTTATCTTTTGAAAAAGGTAATAGATATAATTAAGAGGTGAAAGAATAAATAAATATCCACAATATGTTAACAGAGTTGGCACAAATGTAAGAAATTGACAACGCTGTTTTCGATACGCTTCAGTCCGTCCGCCAAAAAAAAATGTATGGAAGGAAAGGATATGAAACGGAAGGGAAACGGAACGGATAGTGTGCATTGTCCTTTTCATTTACGTGATATAATATTTTATGTAAACGGAAGGGAAACGGAAGGGAGCTGAATAGTGAGAATCAACCTTAAAAACGCTTGTTATTCATAACTTTTTTATATTTATTAAATTTTTCCAAGCATTAAAGGCTACTACCATTAAACGGTAGTTATTTAAGGTATATTTCATCTTGATTAACTCCTCACTCTAATGGAAATAGTTGAATAATTCAACTAAAAGGCACTAGCAAACGCTGAATTATAACAGTGATTTTCTTAGTGCCATCCTATTAGGCTAAAAGCAAAAAAATAGTCACTCACTGCTGCTCACAGTCTAACTGCAACAGAATCATGTAATTGTAAAGCCAAGTTAATTATTATTAAGAATAATTTAACCTAAAAATAGAACTGCAAAACATACAAGGAAAACAAGGAAAGACATGATGGTTCTGCTAAAATTCATTACTTACTTACGTTTTTCGTCGGTTCCGTGTGGATAGAAAGTCACAATTTATTTAAACACAATTTATTTAACAAAAACAATAACGATAAAAGATTTAAAGAACTATTTACAAACGATTTATAACTATTTATCTAGAAAGAATTTATTTTGAATTTAGCGCGTCAACTGTACTCGTCTATTTATTTCTGTCCTCTTCAGGCCCCAGCCGCCGGCTTTTATACCCACAGCTAAAGATTTCTCGAATAATCCATAGATCGTTAGGTGCATAGAGAAGGTTTCGAATGTTCTCTTATATACTACTCCATTCCAGTGGAACTCGATTCCTCTCGAACGTTCGAATGAATCATTACGGTGTCTATTCTTTAATGCGTTGTTAAGGTCATTTGGGGGCGGGACATATAGTTGGGTTAGGTCGAATCCACACGGGTCCGCAGCAATAATAACAATTTGAGAGAGACAATCGAAATGGCGAGTCCATACATACAGCTGATGAAGAAGGCATTATTTGCATCTTCAGCGATAGCCAATAGAACTGTCATATGACAAATAATAATTATAACAGAATTATTAATATTCATTTTTACAAAAAAAAACTATGGTTTGTAGTGTAGCAACCCAAGTTCGTCAACAAAGTTGAAGAGGTAATATTTTGGCCAACTGTATAACAAAGAATTTAAATGTAAGAAATTAATCTACGTTGCGTTAAATATTTTTTTATTGTGATTACCTCGGATGCGCCTCGACAGAAGCAATATTTTGGGAAATTTGAGGAGAATAGGTTATGTAAAAAAACGCTAAATTTGTAAATAGCCCTACTTATTTTATTAAATGAAATGAATGGAGTGCCGTACTCTGCCTGGAATTCACATGTAAAAGAGCACGGCAGAGAAAATCATGATCACTATTCCAGAGCATCTAACTATGCTGTCCTGAACATTAATAAACGAGAAATAATAATAATATAGAAACTGTCCTCATACCTAGGTTCATAGTTTAATAGTTTAATACATTCAAAACATGCCACATTTATATCATTCAAAACTGAAGAGTTTTTTTGTTAGTTTAACGGGTCCCCACCCGTAGGTACGCAGTCCCTTGTTGCGGTATCGACGCTAAAGTTGAAGGTTTGGTGCCAATATCTATAATTTAATAAATTATAAGTTATTCTATGAGTTATTCTATTTATTGTTTTTGTTTGCCCTTTTGCGAGCTAAGATATTCGCCCATGCAAGGTCGAAAATTGTTAGTACACTCAACAAGGCCCTTATTCTCACAAACCACAAACATCGGCACGAAGGAACAGTAAACGATTTTATTTAGATTACTATTTAAACTGAAATTATTTACAGCATAAATAGATTCCATTAAATGCATACACATGTTATATATTATCTTTGTCAGATCAAATGAATAAAGAAAAGCTTTAGAACAGAATTACAACAAGAAAACAAAATAATATGATTTAGTTAACATTAGTTAAATAATGAGAAAACATTTACTTTACCTTTAATAACATTCTGTCACAAAACTCAATAACCAAAATAATATCAATGCGTCTCGAATGATAGTCTAAAGCTATTATTATTATTATATTAATAACTATTATCCCTGATCGTCGCGCGTCGTCTGATTTCCCTCTCTCTAGTTTGTGAAAAATATTTTAAAAATCAATAATTTCAGGTTTTTCGATATTTAGTGACATATTTGATATAACTTGAAATAAATATTTTTTAAACAATATTTTTTATTTGTTTCAGGTCTAAAACATTTTAGAAAAGAACTAGTACCTGGAAACCACCACAAGAAAAATGCATTTTCCTCATCACAAACGAAGGGCTACGCTTTGTGGCCGTCGATATTCAATTTGGCCACGAAAGCGGTGATCTCTTCAAATGCCACTTGTGGGCTAAATGGACGTGAAGAGTTTTGTAAACTGTCAGAAAATGGACGAGGAAGGTTAGTTATCTACTACTAATTTATGTTAATATCCAAATTCCAATAATTCAGATTCTCAGAAAGTTCCACTTGAACAATGTGATAAGTAATTAAAAATAGCTAAGTTTTGTAAAGAAATAACTATTCATTTAACTCTGGAAAGGTTGTTTTTTTTTAAATTTATAGAAAAAAGTCGGTTAATAGCTATTAATGTAAATACATTGATTCAATCAAAACATTTAAATAATTATTGGTTTAAATATAATTGGTATAATATATGCAAATAATAAATTGTTATGTAGACATCGTGACATTTGGCTTATGGATAATAAAAGCAACCCACATGATACTATCGATACACATCTTTAACCTACTTATAATACAAATAATTAAAATTAAATATGTATTTAAAAAAAATCATATGCGTATTTCTCCACTTGCACTGTATGAAAATTTAGAAAATAAAATAGAAGATAAAAAACTCTTTTCATAGGACTTTTTTGAAAAGATGAATCCGCCACAGCGGTATAGACATTTTTTACAATGAAATAGGTACTCTTTTAAATAACTTTATGAAACAAGCTTATCTGTTTTAGATGTGGTATATGCGACGACTACGCTACTGATCAAGGAAAAAGACACTCCATCAACTTTGCTATTGACGGCAGCAATCGGTGGTGGCAAAGTCCAGCGCTCCACTACGGGCCTAAATACGAATACGTCACTATCACAGTAGATCTAAAACAGGTGAGTCATTGTGTCATATAAATCGTCTAATAAAATCTGCGATAAAAAACTCTTTTTATAAAACATACGTTTTAAAATATTTCGGAAAACAGATTTTTGTTTCTAGATTCAGATATTCTCAAATAACTCAAGATCTGTTACAGATATCGAAAAACGGTTTCGAAAAATTGACGAGCCGAGGATTTTTTTCAAAAAATTTTGAAAAATCGTTTTTGGTTATTTAGTAATATGTTGTAGTTCTGAAAATGCATTTTTCGAACCCGTTTTGTTTTTGAGATTTACACTTTTTGTTCCAGATATATTCGTTGTTAAATATTTCGGAAAACAAAAAAAATATTTCTTTTGTAGATATTCTTAAATACCTCAAGACAGTGGCGGATACAGAGGGGGGCCATGGGGCCCGGGCCCCCCTAACTTCTGTAATTTGTGTAAAATATTAGGCTTTTGGGTTAAAAATGGCGCCCTAAAAAGCATATTCTACATTGCTTTTTATTTTGGCCCCCCCTAAAATAAATTCCTGATTCCACCCCTGACTCAAGATATGTTACAGATATCGAAAAACGGTTTGCGGTAGTCAATTCCACGTAAAATGAACTAGCATATTTTAGTTGAAATCTGAGATATTTCGGTTTTTGACAAAATCGACAGGGTGGGACCGAGGAATTTTTTCAACCTCAAAAAACACGTCTTAAAACCTCAAAATTGGCACCGGGTCCTAAAATGTAAAAACCTATTTCCAAGTATATACTAATTAATTAGTGTGTCTTATAGTATGGTTGATTTTGAATTAATTTTATTATTTTTGAGAATCATTTTTATTATAGTTTTTTCAAGATCAGAACATGATTACCTACTTATTTTAGTGTATTATTCCTTATTCTATATTTTTTTTTCGTAATATGCGTATTACGAATATTACTAACACAAGTTATCTCAAAATTGAGTTTTGTTACATCAAATTTTCATATACCATCGATAAACGGTCCCCCTTCATTCCTGCAAGGATAAAATTACTGAAATTATGTAGGCATGATTCAGGAAAAACATCTCCAAAAAATATATTAAAATATGATTGATGGTTTTGTATAGATAGCTCAATTTCAATAAAACATATTTGAAAAGTTGTTGCCTAAGTATTTTTTTAGTTGTCTTGTTTTCTGGAGTTCTATGTGACTTATTTTTCAATTTGTTATTTTTTAGATTCTATTGGCTGAAAGGTGCCAAATCGCCAAAAGGTATCTCAAATACTCAAATGATATTTTTATGTTCTTTATATACCTATCAGTAGAAAAAAAAATGCATAAAACATAGTTGTTAATTACTTAAAATTTACAGTAGTGCTTTTGTTAAATTTTAGAATTATACAGGATTTTTAAGGAACGGAAGTTAACGGAAATGAACGGAAAAGTAGGGAATTACAGGAAAAACTTGGGAATTTTGTTTAAGTCTGGTTGGACAAGCCTAAAGTATGTACTAAGTTGTATTTCAGGAAAATATCTTAAGTTCTACAGGGTGGCCCAAAAAAGTGTGAGTGGATCGAGATATTTTTTTTAAATGGGACACCTTGTATATTATTACGTTTTTGGCTTCTTCTCATATGACTTTCCATAATCCTAAGATATGAGTAAATATATTTCGATAGTTTCAGAGATGTTAATAAATAAATATATACTTTTTAGCTTTTCTCAAAAAAAATGTTAAAAATATAATAACTGTCCTGAAACTACTACTATCCTAAAAATTAAAGTTCTTAAGCTTCTAACGCCTACCACTGAGCTACAAAAATTGGTAATAAAAGGCGTGTCCGCTATTAAATGCTTGAGTCACGCTATTATACCATTTCTCTGGCAGACTGGCATTAAAACTAATATCACCGCTTTAGCTAATTATTAAAATTATTATTTATAACGCATAAACATAGGAATTTAACAACCCACTTGCATATTGTGTTCAATGGCATTATATAAATTATATATCGCATACATAGTAGCACATAGTTTGGGTTATGGGTTAATTTGACAAATATACAGTCACCTATTTTGGTTTACATATATTACAACGTAATATTCATTGAGACTTGTTTTTTCTTTAATTAAAATTAGCGCAAATCCTTATAGATTGGTACTTGCGAAATAATTTGACTACTATAAAAAATAATTAAATTTACAAGTTTAACAACGAACAACGGAATACAGATTCTGGGGGGGAAACGGGAAAACGCCAGAATACCTTATCGCTGAGTGCGCCGAGACGACAACCATTGAAGTTTGATACGATTATGGAGATAGAAAACTCACCCCTGTAAAGCCGTCTCACATACTGGCTTTTGTCCTGAGGCTGTATGATAGCTCAAGAAAGAGGGACACAATAGATCTCTAAGTTAGCGGTGATTAACTCCCCTCCCATACCATTCTACATTCTTATGCGCCCTCTACACTATGAGGAAAACAGTCCGAAGGTCAAGATCGTGTTTCCTCTCCTAACTTTGTCTCGTCTCGGCTTATCTCCGGTTGTCTCTGCTTATTTCCGTTTGTCTTCACTTACATTCACTTATTAAAAACGCCTCGAAACTACTCTTGAAATTACGGAGAAGGGCGAGGAAGGATTTTTTTGACATTACTTGTTGTCTCTACTTCCACGACGTGTCGATATCTATACCCGAGGCAAAGAACTTTTTTTCATAAATCTCAGTGAAATAAATAAACCTAGACGTTCCTAAAATATCTGTTCTTACGATGATATTTCTTTAATTATATATCATTTTATGATGATATATATTCCACAAGATTAATATTTGACTAATGATATTTATTTATACTCCATGTTTACTTATTTTTCTGAAGCCACCACAAATTTTGACCTTGATTCCTTTACTTTTTTTGAAAGTACTTTGAGAAAAGGGGTGTGTGTCTGGGAGATTTTTGATATGATAAATTTGGATTGTCGCTAGACTTTTTAACTGGTTTGAAGGAAAATAACTTTTCGTCAGTACCTGTATAATACAACTGATTAAAAATATACATTTGCGACTTTTTTTACGTAAAAAAGGTCTCTTGGTAAAAGTCGCTACGCGTAATGGTTCTTGAGATATTTAAAATCAAAATTATCAATACATGTCATTATTGACAAGAACTGAACATGTTGAGACTAGATAGTTATTAGACTGAAATCATAAATTTAAAATGTTTTTGTGCCAAATGTTCAACAGAAACTGTTTTATCATGATTTTTTCGCAGAATAATTTATGATTAATTAAAAAAAATCTGAAATTTATTATTTCAGGTCAAATAACTATCTACTCAACGTGTTATTTTTTGTCAATAATGTTATCTATTGACTATTTTTCCATTCTAAATATTTTGAGAACGGTTGCTCGTAACGATTTTTACCAAGGGACATGTTTTACGTAAAAAGTCACGGAAATGTATATTTTTTTATTCAGTAGTTTTATACAGGTGCGGAGGAAAAGTTATTGCTCTTCAAAACAGTCAAAACACATGTAGGTGGCGCCACCTATTAGTAGGAGTTATATTGACATCAAAATCAAATTATTCATGTCAAAAAACTCCCAGACACCAATTTTCATGCAAATATTGACGTTACTTCAGAAATTAGTTGGAAAAAATCGAAATAAAAATGAAATTTCTACACCCTGTATCTCAGAAACTAAGCATTTTAAGACATACATTTATACGACCTTTTCTACTTATTTTTATCTGCAGAATATGCTGCCGAAGTTTCCGGAATACAGTTCGGACCACACTGTATTGTTTGTCTTGATTTTTTGTAGTTTATTTTAATAAACATATAAATATTTAAAAAAGTTAGCAATAATTCGCATATTTCAACCTCATTTTGCATCATACATTTCACGCCTATGCAATTAATCACTAAAACCGTTAATTAAAAATTTGAAAAAAAAATCAGTATTAAACAAATAATTGTTGTCATAATTTTAAATTGCAGTGCTAAAAGCGTTAGAAAGAAGCTTTATTCTAAGATATATTTTCAATTAACTATCATTTAGAAATCCATAACTATTCCTCAATTTCTTAAAGATCTTAACTGAAATTCCCACAGCATCCAGGGTGAAATACCCCATCCTAGTAATTAGAGAAATTCAGCTTTGTAGTCGAGACCGAGACCGTGGATATAGTTCTGAATAGGAATGTGATTGTTAGCATCTAAAACACTGCAACGCATCGATTGCTGCTTTTGCTTGATGGCAGAGAGCCAGGCAATAAGCATTTGATCTTTAATGAGCTGGATAACAGCGTGTATTAACAGAACGTAGTGACGAAATACGTCGTTGCTTTATCGGAGAAATTATAATTTAAACGACATTGTAATGTTTGGATGGAAAAAGTTATTGCAATGGACTGACTATTTAACAATTTTGCTACGCAAAGTTTAGCACTACGTACTTGGGAATGGGGATATTTACAAAACCAAACATTTTAGTTTCTAATATATTCTATTTTTAAACTAGTGTAGTGTAACAACCCAAGTTCGTCAACAAAGTTGAAGAGGTAATAATTCGGCCAACTGTATAACAAAGAATTTAAATGTAAGAAATTAATCTACGTTGCGTTAAATATTTTTTTATTGTGATTACCTCGGATGCGCCTCGACAGAAGCAATATTTTGGGAAATTTGAGAAGAATAGGTTATGTAAAAAAACGCTAAATTTGTAAATAGCCCTACTTATTTTATTAAATGAAATGAATGGAGTGCCGTACTCTGCCTGGAATTCTCACGTAAAAGAGCACGGCAGAAAAAACCCCGATCACTATTCCGGAGAATCCAACTATGCTGTTCTGAACTTAAATAAAAGAGAAATAATAATAAAATATAGAATCTGTCCTCATACCTAGGTTTATAGTTTAATACATTCAAAACATGCCACATTTATATCGTTCAAAACTGAAGAGGTTTAACGGGTCCCCACGCGTAGGTACGAAGTCCTTGTTTGCAGAGATCGACGCTAAAATTGAAGGTCT